AAGGGAGGGAGTTGCCGACATGGAAAGAATGTGGCTGCGAACAGTGGCGTAGGAGTCGTCCAGGCCCAGCAGGAAATCGAGCAGCCTCAAGCTCTCGTTCTGGTCCCGACTTCGACGTCCACAAGCGCAGATTGGGGGCGGTAGGATCGCCTGAGTTTCTTCCCAAATTCGGCGGAGTTTGGTGTAAAAGGCAGACACGGACTGCTTTTCTTGTTGGAGCAAGCTCACGTTACGGCGCAACTCATAGGCGCGCGTGAGGTTTGCTTTGCTGAACCGATCGCGAACATCTTCCCAAATCTCCTGAGCTGTCTTAGCGTGCATGACACTGCTACGCATCTCAGCGTCCATGGCCGTGCGTAACCAGCCCTTGACGAGGGCATCACATCGCATCCATGCAAGAGATTGAGGAGAGCCAGGATCTTGCGGTCGAGGAATGGACCCGTCGACAAATCCCATCTTGTTCTTCGTGACCAGGGCATCTGTCATCTCCAGGATCCACTCACTGTAATTTGAGGACGTCAACAAGCTGCTGACATGTAGGTGACCAGTGCTGTCCGACTGGTGAATGAAGAAGGGGTTCTGCGGATCAATCCCGCGATCGCCAGAGCCACTCCCTGTTAACTTCGACGTGGGAGAGGTCTCGAGAGAGGAATCGAATTCGCCCGACATGCTTGACTAGCTTGATCGGATCAATGCTCTGATACCATGATAAATTTCATAAAGCGGAAGACACGAAACACGGATTTACGTGGTATCCCCGAAGATCGGGACTAGTCCACGGGAGAGCTCTGCTCTCCAGCTGAAATTATTATTAGGTTTTCTCAATGATATTCGGCCGAAGCCTTTACAGCACATATATATCCCTTTCCACATGTAACTAGGGATTTACAACTAGGGCAACTCACAAGAGCACATACGTGTGCATGGGACTCGGACTTAGCAGGAGGCCTATACTGGGCCGAGCCCATTATCCCATGTCTCTTTTTATTCCATTCCACCAATTTGTCTTCTTGTCTTTCATTATTTAATGTTTTAAAACCATACATGTGTCAGGTGGTCGGATCGGAAATACTGGATAACGAATCCAAATCGATTGACGATTTTAGCAGTAGAAAATGGTTGAACCACGGCTAAATCAATGTTTAAGTTCTTGTTTTCCATCGAATTGTAGTCATACCCAATTTATGCACGAGTACTGAAATCATCCACTATACATACACTAATAATTTAATCAAACGGTTTACATATCAAAGTAAAAAAAAATGCAAATGGTAGGATCAAATCGCACATGATCAGTTTTAAGCAAGTAACATTAGTACTCATTCTGAGCTCAAGTGACAATTTTCGTTACACACAATCACAATCACACTCAAACACATCATCATGGAGCCCAACAAATTGGAAAAATGGATTGGAAATAATTAAATATCGCCTAGCAACTACTTAATCTTCCTTGACTACATTGTCAATAAGCTAATCTTTCTGACTAATAAGGTTCATTTTTATATCCATTAAGAAATTGCATTGATGAAGAACCCAAATCAGATTGACCAGCACTTCGATTTTGCTTTGTTTTGCGGCATGATGTCTGGCACATCTTTCGACTCTTGACCTATATATATATAATAACTACATGCTCGGCGCGTACTGTTGTACTATTATAAATATGCTCTTATCGCGAATGACGTCTGCACCAACAACATGCCTCCGACCACTTGGCATGACAAAAACCATTATACGTAGACCTCCTATCGCCCCCCATTCGATCCTCCAAAATCCTGGCAAACTAGTAGTGGAGTTGAGAGAGAGAGTAGGGTAAAAGGAACGGTTGAAATAGAACATTTACTAGCTGCATAGGGTTTCTCTTGATCATACCTTTCCTCACATTTTCTCTCTTGCAAAAATACGAAGTTCTAAACATCTATTTATATAAAGTAGAGCTGATACGAGAATCGCCATGGCTGGCATCACAAATAGAGCATGAAGAATTGAAGGCCGGTGAAGAAACTTGGCGTTGGGTATGGCACCCAAACAGCATGACGAAGTTGGCCCATTTTTCTTTCGGCCCATTTTCATTTATGGGCCTAGTCCTTCACCAATGGATACGGCTTGCTTGCGGAGGCCCAAACTCTTCAGCCCGGAGTAACTCGTTTTGTGAAGGCCCGTATAAATGAGCGGGTAAATTGGTAAAGTGAGTTGAGATTATCGCCGCTGGAGTAAAAGCGTCGGAGAACGAGACGACGCCTATAGCTTAACTGCTGAGAGAATCGGCCGTCGGGCTTGAGCAATTCCACCGGACAGTTTCTGCGGTGGCGGCGCAACCACCAGCCAACCCTACTTTCGCCGATAGCTGCTGATCGGCGGCTGGAGAATGCGAGTGAAATGAAACAGGGAGGATGCTGAAAAACTCAGGCTATCAGCCGCAACTCAGTGGTACTGCTCTCTGGATCCCAATTCACAGTAGTTGCTCAATTAGCTGCCATTTGACGCATAGGCTGATAAGTTGGATGTTGTACGGCCATGGAAGTGAAATGGGTTTCAGCTTGTTTCCTCTTTAAGACCCTGAAAGTGAATCTGTTGCCGTGGCTGGTATTGTGTATGCTGTGTTCATGGCAATGTGTATCTGTTGATCTCAATCCACAAGACAAGGCTTCCCTGTTACTGATTCGCTCGTGGATTGATGATGACCCAAACCACTCAATGTCAAGCTGGGTTGGCTCCAACTGCACGGCTTGGACGGGGATTGGATGCCACAACCATACTGGCCGAGTTATCTCAATTGATTTCAACACCATGAATGTTTCGGGTCGAATTCATCCCAGCATGTGCAAGCTTGTCGATCTCGAGTCCCTGATTCTTTCGAGGAACAGCTTTTTTGGTCAAGTCCCAGCATGCTTTGGTTGGTTGAAGAACCTCAGAACCCTTGACCTGAGCCACAACAAATTCCATGGTGTTTTGCCTGATAGTCTGATGAGGCTTGGTCAGCTGAGAGAACTAATACTGCGTGGGAATCGGGAACTAGGTGGTGCTATTCCATCTTGGCTTGGCAATTTCTCAACCAGATTGGAAAAACTGGACTTGGGTTTCAGTTCATTCCACGGCCAAATGCCTGATAGCTTGTTTCAGTGCAGGTCGCTGAAGTACTTGGATTTTGAAAGCAATCTTTTATCAGGTACCATCGTTGAGTTCTCTCAGCCTTTGGTGTTCCTCAGTCTTGGGTCTAATTCTTTTTCGGGTACTTTATCATGTTACTCTGCTGCTACTCATTCCCTCAAGGTTCTAAATTTGGCTAACAATTCCATTGTTGGAGGGATTCCTACGTGCATTGCTTCACTGGCAGAATTGACTCATCTCAATTTATCACTTAACCATTTGAACTATGCTATATCCCCTAGACTCATTTTCTCTGAGAAGCTTCTTGTGCTGGACTTGAGCTTCAACGATCTCTTCGGTCCACTTCCAGCTAAGATTGCTGCAACGACGGATAAATCAGGGCTTGTTCTTCTCGACCTATCTCACAACCGTTTCTCTGGCTCTATCCCATTAAAGATTACAGAACTGAAAAGCTTACAAGCTTTGTTTCTTTCTCACAATTTGCTTACTGGTGAAATCCCTGCAAGGGTTGGAAATTTGACCTACCTCCAAGTGATGGATCTCTCGCACAACACATTGTCAGGTTCAATACCTTTGACGATTGTTGGGTGTTTTCAACTGCTGGCCCTGGTGCTTAACAACAACAATCTCTCTGGTGAGATTCAGCCTGAGCTAGATGCATTGGACAGCTTGAAGATACTTGATATAAGCAACAACTGGATCTCAGGTGAGATTCCTTTGACTTTAGCTGGCTGCAAGTCCCTTGAGGTTGTGGATTTCAGTTCCAACAATCTCGAGGGCAGTATCAACGATGCAATTACCAAATGGCTGAATCTCAAGTATATCTCGCTTGCTCGGAACAAGTTCACCGGAAATCTACCTAGTTGGTTGTTCTCTTTTCAAGCAATCCAAATAATGGACTTGTCGGGGAACAAATTCTCCGGCTTTATCCCAGATGGTAACCTGAACGTGAGCTTCGATTTCAACAATGCAAGCTACAATGGGACGAGACTTCCAATGGAATCACCTGAGATACAGATATCTGTTGCGGTTGTTGGCATCAACGAGTTAACATTCAATTACCAACTACCATCAACAGTTGTTATTGATCTATCTGATAACTTGCTACGTGGTGAGATTCCAGACACCATGTTTGCACTACGAGGTTTGGAGTACCTGAACTTATCCTACAACTCTCTCAACGGTGAGATTCCAAATCTGGAGAAGATGTGGAGTTTGAGAGCTCTCGATCTGTCGCACAATGCTCTTTCTGGGGAGATTCCACAGAACATTTCGAGTCTTCGTGAACTAGCAGTTTTGAACTTGTCGTTCAACAGTTTTTCTGGCTCCGTACCGAAGAATGAGAGTTACAAGAGGTTTCCAGGAGCATTTGCTGGGAACCCACATTTGTGCTTGGAGGGGGAAGGATGTGATGATGGTGCGAGCCAGCTGGCAATTCCTAGAAGGTCGTTTAGTGGAACGAATGATGAAGGGCCGATATTGGCATGGGTTTTCTGCTTGAGTGCTGTAGTTAGTTGCTATTCTAGTCTTATGGTTCTGTTCTGTTCGGCGAAAACCAGAAGGTACATCTTCCACACAAAAGGTTCATGCTGTGTTTGCAAGTAAATTGCAGTCTGCTAATTGGATGTTGTAAAACTAGCTTATGGTTTGTATGTATGATGTAGCCATAACAATGGCTTGATGTAATGTTTGATGCAATCGCTGTGTAGTACGTATGCAAAGTGTTGTTGCTTCTTTTTTTTCTGCACAATGAAAATCTTCTTCATTTCAGAAATCGAAAGTGTTACAAGCCTGTGACTATTGCATAGTACTTTGAAATGAGATCAAGAACAGTGATGCAGTAAGTAGGATGTGCGGTGTATGCGAGACAAGTTTGCATACTGATAGTAGTTCACTTGTCAGGTGTTTAACAATCACATTCTACTCTCATTCGAAGCCACGTTTCGAAATGTGGTACAGAAGAAAAAAAAAAGATTCCATCGAGTAGAAGCTTTATTGATTGATCGAGAAATGCGGGCAACCAACCTTATACAACAAAGTTTACAAAGAGGAACCAAACGACCTGGCATTTCGAAATGCAGTCCCCTTCCAGAAAGGCACGAGGCCTAAACATGAATTGGTCTCGTTTTTCGTTCAATTTAGTAAACAAGAATTAGCAACAATAATAGCATCAAACCTGCAAACTACCACCATTCTTCCTTCCCACATACTGCACAAAAATGGCAACCAACAAAACTCAGCGAATCTTGTACAGCTGAGCTAAGCTAAGAGATGCTCTTGGTACTAAGATGTTCCGTCCACAATGAGTCCAGATCCGGGAGGAAGGATACAAACAACTAGGAATCGTACCAACGTCAGCACCTATTTTCTGTTATTGATAAGACTATAGGAGCCATCGGCTCAAACGAAGATAGTGTCCTCTAATATTTAATCGGACCATCAAGGCTGCCTGATGCAAACTGGAACACACACAGATGAAAAAGGGTATCAAATAACCTTATCGGAGCTACTATGTACATTTTTTATCGAAGGATGGTTAACTTTCACTACTTGTTAAGTACCTGCTGAACAATAGGATTGGTTGATGTAGTGAATTCATGAGTCATTCCTTGCCACACGACCTTCCCGTTATGAAGAAACAGTAACCTGCATGTATAAGAACGTTGTTGTGAGACGAGACATAAAAGCATAATTCTCCTCCTACTTTGGGCAATATATAGACATTAGTCTATAATCTCAGGTTAACCTGTCGACAGCCCTTCTAATGGTACTGTGTTGATGAGTAACCACAACATAGGAAGCAATCTTGCCAGGTTTGCCGACTGTGTCCTCCCCCGTCATATGGACAGAGCGAATGAGATCTTCTACCACAGTTGACGCAATCGGATCAAGTCCAGCTGTTGGTTCATCATACAAAACCACCTATTCAAAGATCACATTAACGCTCTAATCACTGGTACCACAAGGTATCAAGCATGCTCATTTGTCACAAAAATGATGACTTGAAGTATGAACATTCAAAAACTAGTTGGCATAATGGCCATCTTAATGGATGTACCTCTGGCTCAATGGTGGCCTTGGTGGCGTCAAAAACTATAGATCGAGCTAAAGCAACTCTTTTTTTCATTCCGCCAGATAGCTCAGAAGGCAGCCGCTCCTCAACTCCCTGGACAGACATTTTAGGTACGGGAGCAGATGAAATTGATAGAATAGTATTAGTAAAGAAGCATGGACTGGAAGTTTCAAAGTAATCTATCTACATTACATGGCAATAATACTGCAAAAACATGACGGCCATTCTCTAACTTATGGAAATGAGGAGATTAGCACACAAACTGAGAGAAGTAAAAAATGTTAGGAAACAGCTGTATTGAATACATAGCAGACCTTTAAACCAACGGCAGCCAAGGTTTCTGTCACAAGCTCTGAGATTTGCTCCTCTGGCATTGTAGAATTTTCGTACCTGAAAAGTAGAAAACACCAAGCAATTCAAGCATGCATTTGAATAGAGAGAAGGGCAAAAAAGGTAGTAAAAGAGTGCTAACTTTTGCAGCTAAACAGGGAAAATCAGATTCTCTTACAGCAGGAAACCGACATTTTCACGAACTGTTAAAGAATCAAACAGCGCTGCACTTTGGAACACCTATGTTTGGAAGTAAAATCACTATGAGAAGGTCAATGGCAATGTATATATATTTGAATATCATCTACAAAATGAGACTAACTCACCAATCCAATTCGCAAGCCAGTGATCTCGTTGTCGCTAATTAACCCATCTCGTTTCCTACCTCGAATGTAAACCTCACCCTGCTCTTCCAACCATTTAAATAAACATAAATGTAGCCAAGAAAAAATCAATGCAAACAAGCTACAGACCATAAATAGGCCGAGATTGGAACATTACGCATGATTCCAACCTTGTCTGGAGCAAGAAGTCCAGCCATTATTTTCAAAATTGTAGATTTGCCAGTGCCCGAAGGTCCAATTATTCCAACTGCCTCACCATGTCTGATCTATAGTAAAATTCCAGGAAGAAAAGGAAACACAAGGGTGATATATAAGTGAACTTGAATGGTACTTCAAAAGGCACACATGCATGGAAAAGAACATTGTAACCCCTTGATCAATAGACTGTATTATTCATGGAATTAGCAATCCAATACCAAACTAACTACAGACAAGATTCACCTTGAAGCTCACACCTCGTAATATATGCTTCTCACCAAATGACTTGTACACATCTTTACATTCAATAAGGACGTCAGAATCATCCTCTGGCTCCGATATTGGGTGCAATGTCTCCGATTTCTCTGATTTGTTTATATGCTGATTCAATATTGAGACAAATCCCCCATTAGAAAAGTATGAAAATGGCGGGGAAGGGGTTATGGAGATAATTTAAGTTCCTAGAAGTTCAGCAATTTCTCCCTACCAAGGATGATCTAAGGGTATAAACACTTCACCCAACAAGCCAAATTTAACATGGATCTGAGATGTAAGTCTCCAATAACGATGAAAAGCACAAGGAAACGAGAACTTCAAAAATCATCTTAACTAAAGCAGGATATTAGACACTCTCCTGCCAAAGAAACGAACCCAACAACTTTAAACTCACTTCGAAAATTCTAGACATCAGGTTAGTGTCAAAGATTTTACATTTTTTGCAGTTTCTGGAATTCCATCGCTGCCTATATTTAGAGGAGGCGCCACACAAGCGCAAATGATCTTTCTTTGTTGCTTCCTCCGTAGCCAACATGTTAAAGAATCCGAGCGTGATGAACCGCGTGGTATACTAAGGGGAAGCAGTGTTGAACTGGGCGAGGAAAATGTGCCCTTTGCTAGCATTGCAGATTTCAGGCAGTGCAAGTCTTTGTGCATATTCACTGTTCCACCACTACAAGTACCAAATGAAAACAACAACGAATCATAAATGCTGGCCCGGCCACAAGGCCAAAATCAAACAACTAAATCGAAAAAATGAGATTAACGAGTGCCTTCAACTCGATGAAAGTGCAGATTCTGAAGCTGAATGGGGTTCTAACTTCCACCTAAGCTGGTGGTACAAAATCATCAAGATGGAATTAAAGAGAAATTACCGTTCTGGGGATGGAGAAAGACTGGAGCTTGAATAGACCAAGAAGGGTTACTCAACCAAATCTGCAGAAAGAAACAGCCAATTCGAGGAGATCAAAATGCCAAACCGAGAAGACGTGAAATAAAAGGAAGAATATTGGAGGTCAGGAAAACCCAAAGCCAAGTTTAGCATCACTTCCGAAACAGGAAGTTATTGGAAGCTGAAACTGAAATCTGGTCTTTATAAAGGCTAACTCATAATTCACATCAACTTAAGCTACACAACACACTCCAATTGCATAACCTGCCTGGTACAACAACTCACAACTAAACTAACTACTCCTTGCGAATTCTCGATAGAAGCCTATGGAGATCCCTCAGAAATCAATCAAAAACTGAAAATTCAGAAAGCCTTAATCTTGGTGGGGAAATCTGAATCAACACAAAGATGCAGAACTCCAACCTGTCATGCGGAAATCGACGAGCAATCGACGGGAGAAGGCCCAAAAGGGTATCAGCCTACTGCGCGCCTGAATCTAACCGGAGGAAAAATCGGCCAGCACCTCCTCCGTGGCCTTTCGTCGTGAGCGCGGCTGTGGTGGCTGGGGAACTGGCGACGAGAGAGGTGAGGAAGTATGGTAGGTTGCGGGGGATGGAACGTGATTGGGAAGAAGAAGATCCAGAACCAAGATTTCTTTTTCCTAGCTTACTTAACTAAACGCTGCGTTTTCAAGGAGCTGAACTGACAAACCAGATCGAACCGCCGGTTATCTTCGGGGAAGAAAGATGTCCAGTCCAGCACATTAGCCAAGCAGGTTAGGGGTGGGCAATCGGTTCGGTAAACTCGAACCGAAATCGAATTAAACCGAATCGAAACTGAAATGATGTTATTTGGTTCGAAATTTGGAAGGGAAATATGGATATTTTGGAAATCAGGGTTCTTTCAACCGAATCGAAATTTCGAATTTCTGACCAAAAAACCGAATTACTATAATTGTAAACTCCAAATGATGAATTTTTATGTTTGTATTTGTTTTGAGACTTAAATATTTGAATCATGTTAGTGTTTTATGATTAAAGTGTTGAAATATTTGACTTTATAATTGATAATGCATATAATTGCATATTTATTGTCCACATTAGGGCTGAAAAATAATTTAAAATGGAGAGGATACAAGTATTCTCACAAATTCGATTTTGTGTGAAATTCCGAACCAATCGATCAAACTGAATTATAATTCTATTCGAATTCTGTTTGAAATTTGGTGAAATTCGGGAACCCAATATGCATAATTTCGATTCGGTCGAAACCGAGCTGACTGAACGCCCACCCCTACTAGCTGTGGCTGGTCTTAAATCTTAATAGTCACATTATCTACCTATTCATAGAATTTTTATGGAATGTACACAGATTATCTGCGGATATCCGAGAAATTTAGAGTGGATTTTTGCTTCCAATGCTTCGGTGATTCAGTGACTGTATGGTTTTCCAAACATGACTTCAACAAGAAAACTCACAACAGTTATGCGCAGTCCAATGATGAAGCAATTAGAGAATACACTGGCATTCAGAATAAACTGAACAGTAGGGATTGAACTGAAAGTATGAAACCCAGTTGTATCCCCTGTCTCCTTCTTCACTGTTAATGAGTGCTGAAAGTTGGTGTATCGTAGTTAGTTAAGGCGTAAGGCGTTGGCGTGCTGCTCTTCGATCGCCTCCTCGCTTCATGTCTGTTTACAGAACCTACGTCATGCTCAGGGAGTATCAGCCAGGATCGCAGCAGATCGTTGGAACGTGTTGTCGTACTTCTATACTCTCGTCAGCTGCTGCACCTCGTCTACACTGCTATCTCACTGGAAGTGTCAAGCATATTGGCTTATGTTAGTAATGTAAGAGAGACAGAAACAGAGTATAAAGCGATGTAGGGGGGCGCGAATTCGCAAACAGACCTGAAGAGAAAGCACCATTGGGATGTCTGCTTGGCCAGTACATGGACGTCTTGTTAACCAGTGGCAGGGATGCCCCATCTTTCCTTCTTCCCAGAACTTCCTGGCTGCAAAACATAACGCCGGAGAACAAGCAATTAGCCAATTGCAATTAGCAAGTGAATCGAAAAACCATAACCACCCTACATGAAGAAGCTAACTGCTGCCTGCATCAATCCTCCCCGACACAGAAAATATTCATATTTCCCAGTTCCACCCTGGGAGCCTAAGTGAGAACGACACACTTTCACGAACGATTTCGATGCTTGCTTCCTTCTCATATCACAACCATGTCAAGACGCGACCACTGACACTCCTGCAACGAGCCAGGGGAAACCTTCCTACACAGCCAACAAGGCCACACACAATCCTTAATATCCTATCACCACTACATTCACCATTACACCTGTTCTTGGCACTAATAATACCGATCCATAGCAATATAGCATGTGAAGTCTGGTTCTGTATCATTTAGCTAGGAATGGAAATGAAAGTAACCTACTTCTCCAAGTATTGAATGTTCAATCTTATGCAGCAAAACAACATGTAACAGGCAGAATTATCAGAACATCCATCAATGTTTAAGTACTCAAGTCAAAGGTGACATCTTTGGACTAATTAGTAATTACATGATTACTGATCTAATGGCGCGCAATTATTATTGCTAATCAGCACATCAAATTTCTTACCTGGTGTACGGCCGCGGGCAGAATACGATGGTGTAGTCCGTATTGGCACACGTATACGTACTGGTCTTGTCGTCATACGCGTAGCTATACGACCGCGGGCAAGCGTGCTTGAAAAACAGGGAATACACCGACGGCGAGCAAGTCTCCGGCGTGGCGTACGCATCAGCACAGCAAAACCTGGGATCCCCAAACGCCTCACACGCGCTCCTACACGCGACACCGCCGACCCTGCCCTTATCACGCGCCACCACCTTCAGCTCCTTGGGGCACGCGCCGTTGAGGTCAATCAAGCACCCGGTGGCGCCGCAGCCCCCGCGGGTCACCTTCTGCGGGAAAACCAGCATCGGGAGGTTGTATCCGTCGACCAAGCTGACGTCGTAGAAATCCAGCCCGTCGGCGCCGTTGAGGGTGAACTCGACGAGGGTCGCCGGCGGCTTGGCCCCGCTCCCGCCGCACTCGACCTTCCCGGAGCCGCAATCGGCCGTGAGGCAGGAGAATTTCCCGTCGGCGGTCCCGCAGAGGGTCCGGCCCCATATGCGGCCGGACCAGCCGGTGGGGATGGAAATTGCTCGGGATTTCCCCGGGCGGAGGGCGAAGCCGGTGGTGGGGAGCTGGGCGGTGTTGGCGCCGGAGAGCAGCCCCGGCCAGATTGTTTGGCGGCAGAGGTTGGTGAGCTTGAAAGTAGCCGCCGACTCAATTCCTGCAACAAAAAAAGACACAAATTGGAGGATTTAGAAGGTCCTCGAGAAAGGGAACTAAAGTGGGACGAAATTTGGGGTATTGGGAAAGGGAGAACCTGAGAGGGAAGATGTTGAGAGAAGAAGGAAGAGAAGGAGATGGGGATCCATTGTTGGAGAGGCGAAACGGGTTGGCAGAGCACAAGAAGAGATGAATTGGGAAGACCGACGAATTGCTTTGCGGTGGGGAGAAGGAGAGCTAAAGTGGGAAGAGGTTTCGATCTTTCTCGGCTGCTTTTTTCGGCTTTCTTTCTATTCCAACCTTTTTTGAAGAGGGGGTGAACTGAGCAGCAACCCGCAATCCACTCTGCCAGCAACTCAGACAGTCATGGCTCCAGAGGTCAATACCCTAAACTATACTCATTGTGGCATAATGGTGGGCTTTTGGGTAGCTGAGCATCTGGTTCTTAATGATGGGCTGTCTAAAATTTACCTGGAAAAAGGTGGGTTTATCGCACTTTTGGTTAGAGACTTAACTGCGACATCATAAGAGGAGCAGTGTGAATGTGAAATATAGAAAGAAGGTAATGGAGGTGGATGGTAAATTGGTAATGGTAATATGGTATAGGTAGAGAGACAAGATATAGATCGATTGAGACTTAGAGACTTGAGAGTGAGAGAGTAGTGAGCTGACGGTATTTTACCAGTTGGATTGCATACTGGGAAGAATGGAACTACGGTATTTACAATCACAAATCATTCAGTCAAATTCATGTCACTTGCTTGGGCTCGTTAGTTGACTGGTTATTGTTGAGTGAAAAATGGGCTGGGCTCGAGGTCCGAGCTTATGGGCTGTAGACATTGTTAGGGATCCATGCAAGTTGCAACTCTTGCAAATTTTGTGACTTAGGTTGTTCACAACCTTGGGATAAAAGACCATAATATTTCTTATTGAAATGCTTGTATCTAATTATAATGGATAAATATAAGACCAATTAAATTTCAATATGTAACTTCAAGTATTCATAATTTAGATTTAATAAAACAAGGAATTATAAGACCAATTAAAATCAGGTTTGCAGCTATTTTAGTTTTCAACGAGGCTAAAAGACTATATTTCATTTTAGACCTTAGGTTAGCTCCAGAGGTAGAGGAATTTTACAATACTTTAAAGCATTTGGTATGTTTTTCTATATGGTACAAATTGAAATCTTACCTTTAATGTTATGGTACGACTTCAGGTTCTACCTATATTCTTTTGTATCAATTCATTTATGGTACAAACTAAATTTATACTTTATGTTACGGTACAACTCATAAAGGTGCATGTTTCCTTATGGTACAACCTTAACTTGTACCTATAAGATTATGACACGACTTCAGTTTGTTTACCAATGATTTAAAGAAATGGTAGAAGTGCTTTAGAGGTAAAGTTTCATGTCAATCCATGAAACTTCAGGTGCTAAAGTGAACGACTCACAACATCTAGATACTAAATGAAACCTTCTTACACACTCTTTAGTGCGTCTGTTTGTGTTGTCAGGTTTCCTGCCCATCCGTCCTTAACGTCTGAAGTAAAGAGGTTCACGAGCGCTCATTATTTACTACGAAAGTTACCTTTGTTCGCAAACAGCCAGAGCCAAGCCCCAACCAACCACATTTCCTTCTCTAGCTACTAGCTAGCTAAGCTTACCCTCTCTTCATCTTCCCCCAACTTGGGGAAAGCACTTCTTACTCTTTCAAGCAACAATTCACTTATTATTGCTACTAGGTAGACCCGCTCGCGTTGCTTCGCGATGAACGAACAATGTGAAACAATGATAGGAAAAAAAAAACAGGCTGCAAAATGGATTGAAGATGATAAAAGAAACATTAGAGGCTCTTACCCAACCAAATCGTAACTCATTGTTTGGACTGAATTGCAGCACCTGAAGTAAATACCTTATTTGGCCGACTACAATTTTGGCTAGTGGACAGTATCTCGGGATTTATGAGTTAGAATGATGCGAAAAAATCCTAATTGACATAATATATTGATATTCAATTAAGATAGCTATCGTCAACAACTCCCTTGACAATCACCTTTTACACGGCTCGAACAACACTGGATACAGCAATATATAGAAACCAAGAAATCTAAAAAGAAAGTGAAAATGGATGAGCGGGGATCAGGCATAGATTGAACTTCAGCTGGTGATAATTAAAATACCTAGAAAGCAATTACAGAATTTAGTTAGAAATCCATCCCAAAAAATCAGTCAAATGAACCTATCAAAAATCATATGGCATCCATAGACATAAATGGATAGTAGAGGGTAAGTTCCATGTATTAGGGATAAATCTTTATTCATGTTGACGCAAGTTTCCTTGTCCTACATGAACCTGTACAATTGTGGGTATAAATGCCCCTTCTC